AAAAAAAAAAAGATAGTCAAATAAACAAATTAGCTTCTTTGTAATTATATTATTAATGAATGAAAATTTTTTTTGTTGGTTTTAGATTGTAAAAGTATCAAACTATCAACAAGATATCAACAATCATCAACAACAACAGAATCGGAGTTGATAATGATGTAATTTATTGAGAAAGAGAAAAATCATAAAATATAATATTTATTGTTTTTTTGATTATTTTAGTCTGAAACGGTTACTTCGAATGCAGCTCGACCAAAAAAATTGTATGTATGTTATCAATTGTAGACAATGATAAAAGAGATCGATTATTATTCTAGATGTGAATATTTGAAAAGAAGAAAAGTGATGTGCATCACATTTATTATTATTGTACTTGTTGTAATTATAACAATTCCAGTTGTCATCGTCAAAACAAAAAAGACAAACAGCGAAAAAGTATCAACAACAGGTAGTTAAACTGAGATAATCATTTATTTCGAAGTTCGTATACGATAAATTATTTCAAATGCTCGAAGTAGAACTTCATTGTTTACCATAACAACTTATACATAATACTTCTAAGCAAGCAACAATATCAAAAGTTTTTCTGTGATCCATAATGGACTTTTTAGCATGTAGAAGAATATTTAGCAAGAATAAGTCTCTGAGAAAATCAGATATCAGTGATAATTCGACATCTTAGATTTCGCTTACTATATTTTGTATGTTATATATAGTAGTGATGTTAGTATTAGCTGAGTTTGTCAGTTCGACTGGATCACTCCTTCCTACACAAATAAATACAACACGAGTGGAATTTTTGATATTTGTCAGTATCTGTTTTTTTGATTTTTCCGTGATTTTGACGGAATATCCTTTAATAAAGGTAACTTTTAGATATGAACCTCTAAAGTATCATTAATAAAATGAATCTTACTCGTTTTTCTGTGTTTTCCCACTAAAATGTTGATCCCTCGCATTTTATGCGGCAACAAGCAATCACTGTAATATTTCTGGTGGTGACAGAGGATATCAGGATCTATATCACTTAGGATATCTATAGAATAATATATTCCGATTTTCAGAAAATTCAAATAAAGTGACTATACAGGAAATTTCCTGTGAATTTAATCGAATATTTTTAAGGATAATCATAGAAAACTCTTCTAATTCAAAAAAAGATATAAATAAAGTTGAAGTCTAAGCTCGGATTTGGTGGGGTTCGACCGCATGAGGTAGTCAAGTAAGAAATATGTATCTATATATATACATATAAGATCTTCGGGGTGTCGGTAGGTGAGAGTATGTGTGAAAAGAAGACAACCACCCGCATACACACCCACCCTTGAGACCCATTCACCCATACCCACACCCACCCTCAAGAGCCATTCACTCATACCCACACCCACTCTCAAAAGCCATTCACCCTCACTCAAGATTGTAAGCCGTCTTAAGATTTGTTATTTGATTATAATGCTCTCGTATTCACAGTCCACATATGGGGTTCTAGTGTAAAACGTCGAAAGGAAAAATGTCGAATAGTAAAATATTGAAAAAAGACGTGGTAGGTAGCGCCATTTTTCGACATTTTTACCATTCGACATTTTTTATTTTCGACGTTTTACAGTAGAACCACATATGGTTAGAGAAGAAGTAAGAAATTAGAAGTAAAACTTTATCCAATCGTTTGATCTCATTTTAAACTCATCTCTGCAACCTAGAACTAACTACGACATCATCAACAACAACAACAACAACACCAACAACACCAACAACAACAATATCAACAACAGCAGTATCAACAATATCAACAACAGCAATACCGCGTAAGTAATTGGTTGAATGATTTGTGATTGCTCAAAGGATAATTACTACAAGTAAAGACATCGAAAAGTTTTAATTTTAGCTATCGAATGTTCGTCATCTAGACAAACAACATTAGGGAATATTTTTTGGCAGAAATCGAAATAGGATTAGTTTTTGATGTCTTCATTCGATCTCCACTGAGCCAAATATTGAGTATGCACACCCTATTCAACAGTATCATGCGAAAATATCGCTATTAAGGAGATTTTTCATTCGATAGAACTCATTGATCATTTTAACACATTTGTTCTATTGTGCGAATTATCAGTTTCATTTGACCAAGAGAAATGATCTGTTGTAGTTGTTTATTACGCATATAAAAATTACACAAGATTCATATAGCAAATATGTGTAGTCGATAACACTTGCACGATTGATGAAACATAAAAGAAAATAATTTGCGAAGCATCAAGTTAAGATTATATGAGGAAAAGAGTGATATTTACTTTTACAACTGAAAAGGCAGGTTTTAATTTTATTAAGATAGTCGAGTTTTAACCTACATTTTCTCACACAATAATCGATTTTTATTTGATTTATCGGTATGATTCTAAACGTCGAAGCACTATTTGATATAATATCGACATGAAATATACCTGTCAACACTTAATCTTATGTTTTTGATGACATCTGTTTAAAATCGATAGAGCTTGTTCAATATCAATTAGGCTCTTTATAAGATATTTTTCATTGATTTGCTAAAATCTAACGACCTTAGCGTCATTATTTCTTTAAATTAATTTAAAATTTCATAATAGATCTTATATTATCTATGAAGGGAAAAGAAGTTCACTGAGGGTTAGATAGACAACGTATGCGCATGAGAGATCCGAAGTTATTCTATTAAGAGAATTTTTTAATCTCACTTTTCTCTCTTATTTAGAATGCATAATGCCAGGAGACATGAATGTTGCACGAAAATATCACACAGCATCTATATTAACAAATGCAAAAGTGTTAGTTATTGGTGGGTATAATGGTATTACTCTAAATAGTGCTGAATTGTACGATCTATCAATAGAAATCTGGACATTTATTACTAGCATGAGTACTGCACGGCAGCAACATACTGCATCTGTAGTCACAAATGGGAATGTGTTAGTTGCTGGAGGAATTCAAAATAAATATTTCTTAAAGACTGCTGAATTGTATAATCCATCAGCAAATAGTTGGACAACTACGGGAAACATGCATGGTGTACGAGGTGCTCACACAGCAACTATATTAGCAAATGGAAGAGTGTTGATTAATGGTGGAGATGGTGGCAGTGGTTTTCTTAACACCGCTGAATTATATGATCCATCAATAGGAATCTGGACACGTACAGGAAATATGAATTGTCAGCGCGTTGATCATGCAACAACTTTATTAACAGATGAAAGAGTGTTAGTTGCGGGTGGATATGATGGTATTTCTCTAAATAGTGCTGAAGTGTATGATCCATCGATAGGAATCTGGACAACTACAGGTAATATGAGTGCAGCACGACAGTGTAGTACATTATCTACATTAACGGATGGAAAAGTGTTAGTTGCTGGTGGATTTAATGGTGGCTATCTAAAAAGTGCTGAATTGTATGATCCAGCAACCGGCAACTGGACACCTACAGGTAGCATGAATTTTGCACGGCAGTGTCATACAGCATCATTATTGTCCAACGGAAAAGTACTAGTTACTGGTGGATATAATGGTATTTATATAAATAATACTGAATTATATGATCCATCAACAGGAATCTGGACAAGTAGTACAAACATGAATATTTCACGGTGGCAGCATACAGCTACCATACTCACAAATGAAACATTGTTAATTGTTGGTGGTGGGGGTGATGCTCCGTACCTGAATAATGTGGAGCGGTATCCATTGGCATAAACTAAATGACATTTTTTCGATCGATTACAACATATAATTTATCCTTCGAATTGAAACCATTTATTTATAAATCCTTTAATAAAACTATTATTAAGACTATCTTGTTATCTTGATTTTATTCTAGAATAAGTCTTAATGACAAAATAATAATCAACTAAATCATCTTGATAGTGTAAATGTGGGTGTGGGTGAGAGTTTGGGTATTGTATCCTTCTTTTACCCGCGCCCTATATGTGTCGCTCCTTGATCACCAATTTGATTGGTATTGGTCTCTGATAGAGTGAGTGTCTATCTCATAGCGTGTATATGTAGATACGAAAAACATGAATAGCAAGAAAATTTGAGCTATCGTATTTTTCTGTAATGCATCGAACAAATGTTGTGCTCTTTGATCTCTAAATTCATTATATACCAAATTCAGTTTAACTATTGCCTGTGTGAGAAAACATTGATAATGATATGAAATACATAAAAAGAAAATGAAAGTTACCTTATTATTTTGCAATACATCAGCCAGATGTTTGGCCCCTTCATCTCCGATTTTATTGTTCCCAAGATTGAGCGTGGTAATTGCCTGTATACGATAGTACACATGATGAAATAAAATAGATAAAGAAAATGGAAATTACTATGTTATGTTGTAATGCATTAGCTAAATGTATAGCTTCTTAATCTCCGAATCGATTTTGCTAAAGATTCAATGTAGTAAGTGTCCTTGAGAAAAGGTATATTTGATGATATAAAATAGGTGGGTGTCGCTACTGAATAAAAAAATTCAATCATGCACACCCACACCCACACCCATCTCTATAAAATGAATACTTTTTAGAAAGTCTTGTTGGTGTTCATTTTAGAGAGATTTTACTGTATTAGATTCATCTTTTATATTTTGAATTTTGTTGAAATCTAATTAAAACTATTTTTCAATTTATATTTATTTAAAAAGATTCCAGGAAGTTGTTTAATTAATATTTTATATATAGAAATATTATTCATATTGTATAATATCGAATGAATACTTTTTAAATTGCAAGAATAATTAGAATTGTATTTATTTTTTATGAAAATTTTGTTTGATTGAATGGAAATTCTATAATTAATTAATGAATGTTTTTTTCAAATGTAATTTAAGAAAAGATTTATTCATTATATTGTTTTAAATATAATCAATACTTTTTTCTTCTTGATAAACTTATTACCTAGATTTTTATTAGATAAGAATGTAAATATTGAAATTCTAACTAGTTTATCTCTTAATTATTATTCTATATAAACATATAAGGGAATTTTCTTTGTTAATTTTTATAAAAAATAAATATAATTAGTCGTATGAAATCATTTTCATTTACTATAAGATTTGAAATAAATCAATAAAATCCAATACAATGGATTAAATCTTAAATGATTTTAATTAGAAATTAATAGTTTCTATATCAATAGTTAATCATTTTACAATGAAATTATGATTAATAAATCAATAAAGCAGTTAAATCACTTTATAATAATAGTCATAAAACATTATTTAGATTTTTTTAACTTCGATATTATACAAATTATTTTTGTTATTACATAAAAATGCTCTAATTAATCAATTTAATAATTTTTTATTTTTAAACAATAATATTCGATTATTATGTATCTTCATATTCCTTGAAAATAATAAATAACATTCATCTATCAATATATCATTTTTTAATATAAATAGAAAATAATATTATTTTAGTTTTGTCATAGAAATAGTTCAATTTAACAATAATTTATTTAAAGAATATATTATAATATTTTCAAACAATAGATATTTTCTTATAGCTGAAAGTACTCTTGACAAAATCATTTCAAAATAGATTTTGGAATTAATTTCATCATTTTTATTAAACGTTTATCAACTTCAACTAACTAGAATCTGATAGTAAAATTTTTTTGTTATTATTCATGAACATATTTGAAATCATTTACACGATCATTTCTTTATTTATTCTAACGAGATATTTTTCTTAACAAATTCTACTGTTGAGATGTCAATATAGATCAAAGAGTAATAAAACTAATACTCACATCCACCGATTGATTTATTTCATCACATGTCAATGAAAAAACGAATATTTTGTCACAAAAACATTTCATTGATTTGAAAGTTATCAATAATTTGGATTTTATTTGATGAAAAAGAAGAAAATTGAATTTAAATCATTTTTCATAGAAACTATTTATTCAAAATCAAAAATAAAGAAAATGTCGAAATTTTTCATTTGAAATTGAAATGAATTTAAATTGTCTTTGAAAAAGAAAACAAATCTCTTTGATATCAAAAATCAAATTTAAATTTTAGATCATTTCATAAGTTTTAGTATTAATGTTTTATTTTATTTCAATCTCTTGTTCATTTTTCTTCCGTAATTCGTTTTTTCTCTTTTCATCTAAATGAAAATGTTCATTGATTTATTTTCAATTTTCCAATAAAATTTGCTTTTATTAATTTCATTTTAACAAAACATATTTTTTATTCAGTTTTTGTTAACAAATGTTTCAAAATCAAACCACTAATATTGAAGTGATAAAATTTGTTAATTTATTAAACAAAAATCTTTTCAACATTTGTTTTATTCAATAAAATACGTTGTAATCCAATTTTTATTATCAAATTTTTCTAAAACATTTCTTTCCTCTTCAATTGGAGACAAATTAATTGTTTCTATCAAATAAAAATATGCAAATAGAATTTTCTAAAATACAAAAACTTCTTTTCAAAGAATTTTTCTTTCAATTCAATTCAAATTTCAAACTATTTTATTTGTTTCACTTTGTTAATGAAAGTTACCAATTGAATTCAAGGTTGATAAAAAAACCAAAAAGATTTTCTTCTTTATTTTCTTATCAAAAATTATTCGATTTTTTTCATTGATTCTCAATAATAAAATTTTATTTTTTCTTTTATTTCTCGGTTATTAATTCAACAAATATTTTTGTTTCTTTTTTCAAAATTAAAATTTCATTCACAAAACTATTTCAAATTTTTGAATTCGATGATTCCAATGATCAACAACATAAAGATTTCCTTCATCATCAAAAGATAAACCAAAGGGGTGATTGAATTGATTTGGTTGATTTCCTTGACCATTTCCACCAACAACAATTTCACCTTCTTCTTTTCCTTCACACCAACGCATTACTCGATGATTATAACTATCTGCCACATAGATTTGACCCAAATCATCAACAATTACTGCTTGAGGATTACACAATTGATTGAGATTTACTCCTGGACCATTTCCTCCAGCCACAATTATTCCTTCTTTTGCATCTTTTCTCCATTTTATCACACGATGATTGTTCCAGTCTGATACATAAACAGACTGATCTTCATCAACAAAGATAAGACGAGGATCATTGAGTTGGTTAAGCTGATTTCCGTGCCCATTTCCACCTGCCACTATAATTCCTTCATTGTTATATTCTCCCATTTTCCATCGTCTCACTTCAGCATTCAAACGATCAGAAACATAAAGAAATCCATATTTATCCATTGCTAAGCCATAACAGCCAATATTGACAATGAGAATTTGTTGACTTTGATTTATCCATCGAATCACACGTCTATTCCCAAGATCAGCAATGATGATGGAATGACTTTGTTCATCAACAATCATATCTGTTGGTCGATTCAATTGATCCATTTGATTTCCTAGTCCATTTCCACCTGCAATGATTTGTCTTTCGTTTGCATCTTGTTTCCATTCAACAATACGATGATTAGAAGAATCAGCAATGAAAATATTTTTGTTCTTATCAATAAAGATTTGAAGAGGGCGATTGAGTTGATTTACTCTTTCTCCTTCTTCATTTCTACCAGCCACAGTGATGGCATTTTGTTTCCATTTGTTATATTTTGGTACTAAAAAATGATGAAAACAGCAGATTTTGATGAAAAGAAGAAGAAAATTTCGTTTTTTATCGAAGAAAAAAAGAAAAAATTAGTTTCCAATGAGACTTTGATTTTGTTTTTTTGTTGAAGTTGAATTGTAAATAAAATCAGTGGCGGAGCCGGGGGGAGGAGGGCGCACAGTCCACCCCTCCTTGTAGCAAGATTTTGAAAAAATATATTTTTATGATACAAAATCTTACTATTCTTTGTAGTGGAATACTCTATGAGATATACCTTATTGTGTGGAAATCATATGTAGTTTTTAAACAAATAAAAACACATTTAATATGAGCTTCAGCTAGATTCTAGAGATTTCTCAGTTTCATATTTCACTCATTCGACAATGTAAGGTGCAAACAATACAAAATTAAAGCAAAAGTTTTTTCGCTTTTTCACACATGGTTGGATCGAGCTCGTCGAGCTGAATAAGAATATATCGTTCTTTTTTCGAAAGGTTTTTGTTGATAAATTTCTAATTTTTTCCAAAGTGCTAAAAGACCCATTTTCTTGAAAAGAATATTAAAAAAAACTCATCTTTTAATGTTTTTTTTACTCTTGAATCCCTTCATTTTACAAGCATATTTTCAGTAAGGAATAACCAAAAAAAGTTAGATCGATGCAGTTTTTCACAATAAATCTAAATATGTTATTTTCATAGTCCGAAGAAATGTAAAAGCCCTCTGAAATTGGAAAAAAACATTGAAAGATGAATTTTTTCTAATTTTTCGCCACTGAAATGAATGTGACTGTGCATGAGAGAATATAATGCTAACATCATTCTCATGAAAAAACTGATGTTTATGAAAGATGTGTTTCTTGAGTATTAAGTTAGTATTTTATCCAACTGCAATTTCTTTTGAACACGTCAATTCTATATAAATGCTACCTGAAACAGAAGATTAGGTGTTCATATCAACTGGTACTTCTACGTGCATAATCATACCGATAAATCAGATTAAAACTGACCATATCATGAATAAATATAGATTGAAACTTACTGTTTCAGTTATAAAAAAGGATTTTTCTTGAATTCACTTCTGTTTTCAAATAAGCAACTTTGATCAGCTAGAAATGTTTAGTATGCGAGCTTGCCTAAATTATAATGTGAGTAATTGATAGAGATGGCACTTGTAATAGACTCGTGCTGACAGTGTACTAGGAGAAATAGTGATAGCTACAAATAATTCTGGATATAAGTCTTCAAAAATGACTCAATAAATGTTACATTTCTCACATTATCTGGTTGATGTATGAAAGTATTCATGGATATGTCCAATTAACTTCTATGCTATATTTACAAGCAATGACGTTATCTGACTTTATTTAGTCATAGTATCTATCATTATCAACCTTTTCCGATTTAATGAGAAGTTCCTGAAGTGATCATTGAGTTCTACCATGTAAGAACCTTTTTATCGATAACATATTTGCATGATACCGTTGAAATCGATTGACATCTCCAATATTTGACTATTTGTAAATGAAATTAATTCATCCAAATTTGATCCTATTTCTAGCCCTCATACAACGTTCTCTGATGTTCTATATCTAGATGAGGAGCACTGGAGAGCTTAAATCAAAACTTTTAGATTTGGTCATTTATGATACTCAGCGTTTAGGCTATTACAAATCATCCGACATATTACTAACCTGGCTTTGTTGATGTTGCTGGTAAAGTTGATGTGGTAGGTGATTCTAGATTACAAAAATGAGTTTAGAAAGAGACTAAATGATTGGATAAGGCTTTATTCCTAATTTCTTTCGTCGTCCTCTTCTTCTTCTTCTTCCTCTCTAACAATCTATCGATCGTAACTATTAGTGCATTACAATAATATAGGAAAAGTTTAGATGTCTTACATTATAATTGCAATTCTATGATCTTTATTTTTATCCTAATAGTGCCATGAGGGTCATTTTTGTCCGTTCTTGTGAGGGAATATACAGTGATAAAAAAGGCTTGGTAGTACGAGGGGTAACTACATATCTATTATAATAGTTCTGACAACTCATTTTACATTTTTTATACGTTTAATAATGAAACATTTGCAGAATTGTAGAAATTAACTCATATAACATTTGTATACTCCTACTGCTCTTGAAATATTTCATTTTCATTCAAGACGACATTCCGGCCAGAAACTTGTCCTAATTCAACGGTCAAAGCTTATACAGCTTATGTTTAGCTATCAGAAAACGGAATCAATTCACGTCGGTCTAGTTCATCGCTTGCTTTTCAAAACTACTGATTATTGTAGCGTAGCTAGTTATACTGTTAAAAGATTCTTTGTGGCACAGAGAAAAACTTCAGGATAATCCCGTTGGATCCTAATCAGATCTGCCAGAGTAGGTTCATTTCTTTTTCAAACTGTTTTTAATCATCACCTCCATAAAAACAAATTCTGTATATTTTCTTATTTATTGTCTAAGATCTCAGGACAATGCGCTGTGAATTTCTATACAATATCGATCAAATTCTTTTTGAAACACGCTAATGTCAATTTTATTTCACCGAATAATTCTTTGCATTTGAGGGTGTGAGTGTGAGTGTGGGTGTGGGTATCTCTTCTCTTAACTTACACCCACATCCTTTTTTTACTTTCATTATATTTTGTCTCAAAAAATAAACATTTTATGCAGTGTTAAACTTGAGTTTAAATCTTCATATATCTGGTAAACTATTGATCTGACACTTTTAGGAATACTTTTAATGAACTCCCCAGCAGCTAAGTAGTCGGTCTGGATCATAAACAAAGAGAGGGGAGGGGCCGATAAGTGTATTTGTCCCCACATATCGTATATATATTGTATGAAAGCTTTTGAATTACTTTGTAAGTCATTTCCGGCATAAATTCGAACGAATGATTCGATCGAAGATCTTTGCAACTTTTTGAAAATACAATCAACAAAAAAACAATTTATCATTGGAATTAGTTGAAGATAAAAGATGATTAAACTTTAATCTTTAGTATTTCAAATAACAAAAGAAAACTGAATAAAAATATCTGTTTCATTTTCTTTTGGACAAGCGAATCAGAGTTTGTTCTTTGAATTGATGATGCATATCGATAGATGACTAATCGAAAGTCAAGAGAAGACAAATTCTCACATTCATACTGGCGGGTTGGTGAACGATAAGCATGAGGAACGATGAGCACGAGAAAATTAAACACCGGAAAGTTAAGCATAAATAAAATAAAATAACAGCGTGGTCTCATATAAAAGATTAATCAAGGGTGTGCGTATAGCTGTGGATCGGTGTGGGCATGGGTGTGGGTGTGAGTGAGGTTTGTGTGAGTGTAGGTGTTAAGTATAAACAAAATATAGTGCTTACAGTCACACCCGCCGACATTCGCACCCACACCCTGCTTAACTTTCTCGTGGTTACCATTCCCGTGCTTATCGTTTCCATGCTCATCGTTCCGATTATCCACACTGGCACCACTGTGTATTCTGCGATATTTTCTACAGATGTTCCTCGATTAGTTTTCTATCAGAATTTTGCAAATACTATACTCTAAGCGAACATCCTATCCGAAAGATCTTGATTATGGTACACAGAACTAAAAAGATTGTGAAACTTTCGATACAAGATAATATTAATGTTCTATATCAGCACCTGTAATTTGATCTTTGATATAGATTTATAAGATCTTACTCAAGATGCATATGGTCTAATATAATCACTATAGTTCGTGTATGGATGCCCTTAAATACTGCAGCAATAGTCCATTCGATATCGCGTCTACAAGTGTTAAAAATCAAATCAGAGATCAATGGTCATTGTAAATAATCTTCAAAATCTTTGATCTCAAAAACATCTTTAAATGAAAATTCGCCACACTGTATTCATAAACAGTAGTAAACTCACATTGACAAAGAAATGTTATGTTCATATATTTTAATCACATCAGATTCATCTGTACACAAGATCAATTCACATTTATCTACTTTGTATCTTGATTACAAGATGTTTTATTAGAGAAATTACACACTGAAAAACTTCCAAAGGACAATTTTTGAAAAAAATATTCGAATTTCCTTCTTCATTTCACAAATATTTACCATTTGTAAATTCTATTCTATAAAATGTATGAAAGACTTTTGTAAATTTGTTTTCTTATCTCTCAACTTTAGGTAAACAATGACAAAAGAAACTCACTCATACAAAGACAAAACGTCGTTTTGAAAAAAAAGAAGTAAATCTTCTCTTGTTGTAATAGTTCTTCAAAGATTCTTTGTTAAAATATTGAACTATGAATTTCATGAAAAGTATCGATATTTTTCTGTGTGAAATATAATCTCGAATTTGTCTCTATCAAAAATTAAACAGTAGAATCCTAATCTATATGGATATTCTTAAAAAATATTCTGAAATAAAATCAACGCTTGACACTCCATGAAAATGTGTTAATAATTTACTAAAAAAAGAAAAGGTCACCACCTTATTTTATTTTGTAATATAATACCTGTTGTCGTCGGATTGGTCACTGTTGTTGTTTTTTTTCTTACAGTTGATGATTGTATTATATTTGTTGCTTTCTTTCTAACAGTTGATATTTTTTTTTTATTTGTTGTTGTTCTTCTTATAATAATCATGATTGCAAAAGTTACGATCATAATAACAATGATAATACCAATAATGATCCATAATAATTTCTTTTTTGTAAAACATTTGCTTCTATAATAAACAATAATACTTTTAATTATCAATTTCAACAATTCACAAAACACATACGACGATGTTGATCGATCAGTTGGTGTTTGTTGAGAATTCGACGTAACTGGTTCAGACTAAAATAGTTTATTAATATCAAACGTTATTTTATCTAATTCAAACAAAATCTATTACATCACAAACTCCTATTTGATTTCGACTCATAATGAGTATGTTGTGCACGTGTGGGATTGAACTAATAGCTTATTAAAATCAATAATCTAGAGTATGAAATAAAAACTGATGATATCAAAATAAAACATATCTTCAATAAATATGAGGAGAAAATAATATTTGAGGATAAAAGATTAGTTAAGAATAGAAAAAAATATTTGGCTAAAATTAAAACAATGAAAAACACTTTGTTTAGAAATCAATCGAAATAAAAGAGAAAATTCAATTGAACGGTGTCAATAATAGAGAGAGAGAAAGAAAGAAAGACAATTATTAATATCAAAATATATTTGAAAGACTTTTCGGAATATTTTCAAATGATTTTGCCACAGCTGAAAAAAAATCCTTAAAATACTATTGAAATTTAATTTCATCTAAGAATAATCAAAATAAAATAGGGTGTGGGTATCTCTTCTCTTAGCGCACAGTCACATCCACCCTCATTGTCAAGTGGAATTAATCTATTGTTATTGATCTTGTTAATAATAACAAAAAGATCGATTTGATTATCATTGTTGAAACCACCAACGAGCGTTTTGCCCCAGGTACGTGAATATCATTTTCCAAAGACATTACCATGTCCAAGTAAGACATTCATATTGTTTTTAGTCAAACTAAACAACAGCAAGATCTAGCTGATTATCACCATTAAAATCAGCAGTAGTATGTGACTTTGTGAGAAAAGTAAAAGTATTTTTGTCGATTGATGTCTTTTGAAATTGTAATGAGCAAGAAGGTTCTAATGACAAAAAAAAAGAAAGAATGTATAAACACACATTTGTGAACGAGATTTATATAAAGAAAACTCAATCAAAAACGTCTGTTTCTCAGTCTTATGAATTATTACATACGAGTCGTGATTAACCTCCAGAAATCAACGCTCAAGTGTCTATATTTTGAATTGCATTTATTTGAATAGATATGTATCATTGGAAAGCAATTCAAAATAGTTTCTGACTCGATCCATTCATTTATGAGACAAAAATAGTAAAGATAAATATATCGAAAATCAATAATTATCAAATTAATAGCAGAAGTTTTTGTTGAAAGACAAAATAAAAATAAATCTATGCTAACTGTATTTGAATATACAATCTCATATTTTTCAATCTCGACTTTTATCTATGTACAGATATATATTCTTCGTAATTCAGTCTTAGAAAATATGATTTGATAAGTAACAAAGTATTTGTTTGATTTAGATTCGAACTTATTCATTGGTATGTATTGAGGATGTGGGTGGGTGTGGTTGAGGGTGAGTGGTTCGTTACGGCTGTAGGTATTATATTCATGTCTCACGCCCGCACTCCACACCTAACCTAAATTCTCAAGATAAAGGTATGACCATCATCTGGCTGAATTACTGGTAGGGATTAGACTTTGATGTTGGCTGGTGTTATGGGCAGGGTTAGGAATCTCGTTACTGGGTGAAATCATGGACGGGGTTCGGGACTTTGATGTTCCATGAAATCATGGGTGGGATTAGGAAGCCTGGTGTTGGGTGAAATCATGGATGGGATTAAGGATCCTAATAGTGGGTGAAACTATACATGAGATTAGGGATCCTAATGTTGGGTGAAGGTATGGTTCGAGTTAGGGATCTTGATGTTGGGTGTAATTATGGGTGAAGTTAGAGAGCTTGATGTTTTTATTTTGAAGAAATAAACTATTTGTCTGTTATACCGAACTAAAATAAAATTACAGTAATGCTTCCTAATCTCTTTCAGTGAATAGAAAATAGAATGATTCGACTGCCGTTTCTGGTTAATAAATAAATTGCTTCAAGAAATCTGTTAAGCTGTCAAATTCTGAAAGGAAATTTCGCTAACTTTTTTATGGATAAGTTAGAAGAAGGATGTTTACGTTTTTCACATATTTTCATTTAACAAAACTACCAAAACGTTTGCTATAGTAATAAGGCCGTTGACTTCATGAACACTGCCGAATGATATTTGTTCACTGAAAACAAAGCATATCAATACGATCTGAGTAGTGTCCCTATAATAACTTTCTTTACTTGCTGCTTAATCTCACTATTTCATGTGTTCAGTGGTCTAAGGTTATCGTTTTGCAGCATATCTATTTTTTGTTTCAAGATTGACTCGAGCGAGGTTCAAGAGACCGACGCCTTACTTGTTCAGAATAGGGGATTGTTTTCTTTTGGCAAAACTATTCCTGCTGTTATTGTCACTGTTTTTTAGTCTCTGACGTTGCTATTTTTGTTGTTGTTATTTCAATTGTTGATCCTCTGTTGTAGATGTATTTCCACTGTTTTGCTTTTTTTCAAAAGAAACACTAATTGAGATAGTAATTATTAGAATAACAGGAATAATAGAGAATATTGTCATGTAGATGAATACATTCGTTTTATTATCTATTACAATTGATAATGTACATATAATAGTTTTGGTTGTGTTGCATTTGAATTAACTGCATCAGACTAAAATGTTTAAAAAAAAAGACAAGATTATTTAGTGTTATTTCTATTTCTTTTAATAAATTGCATGAGTAACTGTTACTTTATTGTTATTCATAATCAATATTTCATCCAAGTTGACCACCACTTTTTCAATTTAACATTTGCAAACACTTCTTCTCGTCTACATATTTTCGGTGAATAGTGATGTAATTGTAAAATCATTTTCATTTATTATTAATCGTGATATAATCAGTTTTGAAATCTACATATCGAATAATATCTATTAACATTTCTTGATATCTAATCTAGCTAAGTGAAAAAGACAAGAATAGAAAATAAAATGTAGATTTATTCTATCATTACGAGTTGTAAATTACTGGTAAGTCATGTTCTTTCTCAAATAATCATTTTAATGTGAAATGTTTGCAGTAAAGAATGATACATTAATAAAATAAAATAGTTAACTCACCTCTTTTTTCAAGAATTATTTTGAAAAAAAATGTCGTCATGTGTGAGTTATTATTCCTTATAAATATCAAACTCTGCTACGTAGAATGGAGACACACACACACTACTTAAAACGACATTTAATGTAATTAGTATTACTTAGTCAAATAAAAAAAATCAGCGCTTTTTATAGGAAATGTGACGTTTCCTCTGGGAATAAAATTAATGAGATAAAATGTTTTAATACATAAGCTTCATTTCGGAGAATTAAAAATTATTTCTATCCAGTGTTTATATTGCTAGAAGTTGCTTCTATTTTATTTGATAATTATTTTACAAAAAAGATAAATGATAATAAAAGTGAGATTTAGTGTCTTTACCTTGCTTCTTTGATCAGAAATGAAATAGATTCTCATTTGATTGTTTTTGTTTTGTTGTTGATTGATTGAGTTTAATATCTAAATAGAATACATTATATAAGAAAACATATCCTCAAAGCTAACTCTATGAAACTGAGAAAGAAACAAAAACAAAACGTTGAATTTATTGATTCTCTTGAGATAGTAACTATTAATCAATTATAATAACGCTTTCTTTGTTTTTTTTTACTAAATAGAAAATAGGTAAAATAATAAAAGTATTAATAGATGTTCAGCCGAACAACAATTTTATTTGTCTACACGATTCATTGATTGTGAAATCTTTTTTTTGTGAACATTTGCAATAAACACATCATATATAGAAATAAAAATAATGAGTTCTCTTCCTTTATTCAGTTTAGCTCTATACAAAACTCTGGCAGATGTCACCTTTTTTGTACTATAATAAAGAATATCACACAAAAATGTTTTAATCGTCTAGAAAAATATAGAAGCAAACCGTTTCAATGAACATCGTAGGTCTGATTTTTCCGAGAAAATAAAAAGTTTCTGAAAAGAAGAATAAAAAAGTTAAAGTATAATATTTTGTTATATTACATGTATTTTGAGAAACAAAATCGTAATCGATGTGCCATTCTGTTACATGATGTGTTTATTTTTCACTTCAAATTAATCTTTGTCTCATCAACAAGGATATGACAGATTCGTATTAATTCAGTGAATAAATTTCTACTGTACAGTTTCTTTCTCACAAGTGAGAACATAGAGGTGCCAGATGTACTTGAACATTTTGCTCTAGCAGTGACTTTAAGCAAATGATTTATTATATCATTTCCACGAAAAAATATATAGATATTTTGGAATGTTTGTTTCTGTTCGAATCGTGGTCTTTCTTAGGCACTTAAATGATATATTTTATCTGTTGACTTCTGTGGAATTCTCAAAATTCGAAGCGATCCACTTTCAAACTCTGTTTTGCTTTATAATCTTTGATCGTTAAAAAGAATTTTAAGATGATCATTGCAATATATTCAACTTTCACCTATACAATAGTTTGTTTTTGCTAGAATAATATTAATATATTCAAATTGCTTTTAATATGTCAAGAAAAACATAATTATTCGATAAATTAAGCATTCAACTCATTTTATTTGTTACCATGATAGATTTGAAAGCTTTATTGCGTTGAATGAAGGTGTGATGGATGTCGACAGTCTCTTCAATTCATATCCACACACCCACATCCACACCCTCATGTCCAAGTAAATCAGGACTTTGCTCAACACATTTTCGAACTGGTGGAGCACGAGGTACAAATCAAACACCATTAAATTGTTTAAAAATAACAGGTGCAAGTAAAAGCCCAGAATGTCAAGATGCATTTCTTCAACTTCATATTACTTCTCAAACATCACTTTACATGGAAAATATATGGCTTTGGATAGCTGATCATAATTTAGATTATCCCGATCATTCACAAATTGATATATTTAATGCTCGAACTATTTTAGTTGAAAGTCAAGGTCTGTTATGGATGTATGGAACATCAGCTGAACATTCCGTTTTTTATTAATATCAATTTCTTAATGCACAAAATATTTTCTTTGGACAAGCTCAAACCGAATCAGCTTATTATCAAAGTGAACCACCAGCTCCTGAACCATTTACTTCTTTAGCTTCTTGGACTGATCCAGTTTTTGATTCATGTTCAATAAATGATAATACTTGCGCTAAAGGTTATGGTATTGATATAATTAATGGAAAAAATATTTATATTTATAATGCTGGTCTCTATAGTTTTTTTCGAAATTGGAATACAAATTGTATTGGAACACTTAGTGATAGTTATTGTCAGAAAGCAATGTTTCGAATTCAAGGAAATACTCCAAATGTTTATATTTAGAATCTTGAAACTGTTAGTGTTGAAAATATGGTTGTTGTTAATGGAATTAATAAAGTTAAAAATAAAGATAGTATGAGTGTTTTTACTGATGGAATACTTGCTTATTTACCAACTATGTAATTTCTATTACGATTTTTTAATAAAAATAAATCTATTTAGAAATAAAAACACTTTTCAATCTTAATTGATAAAATACTTTTTCTAATTTATTACAATGTATTGATCTGACAAAAAAATGATTTCTTCTATATCAAACTAAATATGAGATTAACTTCAATATATATCTTACATAGACATACTCAAAACTAACTCCCGTAAAAATTCATTCTTTTCATTTATAATCAACTATAGTATTCAATTACTTATAATTGATCGAAACTTTCTTATGAAAAGTGAATATTTGATATTATTTATTACATTAAAGAAATTCAACATGAACTTCTTTTTTCAAAACCAATGATCCATTTTTTTCAATAGTCTTTCTATTAACATGATAGTTTAGATGTTTGAAAAGAATTATATATTCTATCAATATGTTTTGTAAATAGTAACACTATTACAAATATAAAGGGTGGGTGTGGGTCGGTATGTAGATAATTCTCCTCTCTACACCCACACTCTGTCATCGTTTTCAAACCGTTTAACGATTCATCGTAAACGATGGCCTCAAGGTGACCGTTTTTCGTCTTTTTTTACCGTTTGAGGCTGTTTACGACACCGTATTCTTCCACCTGGGTAGGGGACGCTGTATGTTGTTAATTGATAACTTGCTCTTCGAGATTTTGTAGTTCTTGTTCTTCTTCTTGTACTTGTTCTTCGATTTTAAGAAATATCGTAAAATTATTTATTCTAGCTACCAAGAGCTAAATAACTGTTTGAACAATCTAAAATAAAGAATACATGTATAATTAATGTATCTACTAGTACTTACATACAATAACTGCAAGTCTTTATCAAAGGATAAATCGACGGAATTGTTGATTAAAAGTCCAATGAAAATCATGCATAATATACATAAAAACACCCAAATACGAATACTAGAATCATAAAAAAAAGTATTAAATGCATTTTTTCAAATAAGAATTTAAAAGTTTATCCATCTTACTTTTTTGTAAGAATAATTCCAATCGACTCCAACTATCATCTTTGCGGAACAATGACATACGTTTAGTAATGTGCAACAGATATAAACTTGATCTTAATATGTACCATCTTGAGGGTGTGAGTGTGGGTAAAGAGAGGAGAACTATCCACATACCCGCCCACACCCACACTCAATATTTAGCATTTGACTTGGATATTTTTATTTCTTTACGTATTACATAACGAATTGAAGTAAATGATTCAATAATTAAAATTCGTACTCGATCAGTCATTTTTTCTGAAATACTATTAAATAATTATTTATTCTTTTCTTTCTAATAAAAAATTTCTTTGTTTTCAACAAACGGTATAGTTAAAATAAAAGTAAAATGAAAGAGAGACGAATTATTGGTTATTCGAAATAAAGCGTCGGATACAAATACAATTCTAAGATATAACAGATGACGCTTTATATAGTTTATCTTCTTGCCTGTTACGAAAAACTAATCGAATTAACTTTAAAATGTATTAATTATATTAAATCTTGTTTGTAAAATGTGAAAGAAATAATTTGTTATAAAATAATCTTTGATTATTAGAAGTATTGTTTAAATAAAACTGAATGTTGGTTATTCTCTTTCTCGTAGAGAAGAGTTCAGTGAACATAAATTGTCTGATTGCTTGCTTGCTTGCTTGTGTGTCCGCAGGGTCAAAAAAACATTGAAATTTAATTTTTCAGATACTTCCGGAAAGCTTTGACTGGGGGGTAATCGAGGGCGGAGAACTTGAATCTGACGTTAGTTTATTGAAATTAACTAGTTAATAATTAGTTAATAATCAGTTAATAATTAGTATTATTATATGTTCAAGTAAAAGTTCACCGAAGGGTAATCGAGTGTGGAGAATCCGAATCTACGATTATTTTTAGTTAACAATCAATTAACAATTAGTTAATAATTAATATTATTAATTTTTGAAATATTTTCGGAAAAGTTGAACCAAAGGGTAGTCGAGTATGGAGAACTCGAATTTGAGACTGATTTATTAAAACTAATTAGTTAATAATTAGTTAATAATTGATATTATTAGTTTTTGAAAAAGTTTCACCGAAGGGTAATTGAGTGCTAAGAATTCGAATTTGAGGTTAGTTCTAGTTAACAATCAATTAATAATTAATTAATAATTAATTAATAATTAATATTATTAATTTTTGAAGTATTTTCAGAAAAGTTGGACCAAAGGGTAATCGAGTATGGGGAACTCGAATCTGAGATTGATTTATTAAAATTAATTAGTTAATAATTGATATTATTAGTTTTTGAAAAAGTTTAGCCGAAGGGTAATCGAGTGCCAAGAATTTGAATGTGAGGTTAATATTATAAAATATTTTTATGGATCACTTTTTTAAAGAGAGAACCAATTTTTATAAAAAAAAATTTTCATAAGGGGTGACCGAAGGGTAAGTAGGGTGGAAGGACACAAATCTGGTGTTAATTTTTCCAATCTGTATAAGGAAAAAGTTTAGTATTGTAGAATACGATTTCTACGAGAAAGAGCTGAGCGAGTCCGCAGACGAGCGCTACTTGTTCTTTTAAACATATAAATACTAATTCAGCTTTCGCTTATTAAAATAACATGATGATTAACGTTTCTATTCAAAATTTCTATTTTCTACTTATTTATCATCATGTTATTTTATATATATATTCAGTATATTAAAAAGAGAAATTTCTTGTTTTTATTTCAAAATATCGATTTACAATAGTTAAAATATGAATTAATGAATATTTGTTTCGAAGTATTTATTCAAGAACAAAAAAAATCAATAAATAATTAATTGATGAAGAAGAAAAAAAGTTCAATGTAAAATAAATAAAAAAAGCTTTTAAAAATAAATGAAATATAATCCTTATAATCTTTTAAACAATTGAATTCTATAATTCATTGAATCAACAACATAGAATCATCATCATATTTTCTAAGATTTGTTTATTTTAACCATCATTTGAATTCATTAAAATTTTTTTCCATTGGTTTTTGATAATTTATAGTTAAGAACCTTATAAAATCATCGAATTTTTTATGAACAATAATAGTAATTGAAAATGAATTATGCCATCCCAAAGAAACTGATTTGACAAAGTGTTGACCTTGTTCAGTTGATGGTATAATCATGTGTTAATTATCAGAATTGTTTTATTGATCAAGAAGATAATTCACATAAACATAGATTTGTTGATCATTGATAATTTCTATAGATGCAGGAAATTCATCAACACCCTTTCGCTATCGTCTATTTTTATTTTATTTTTGTTATGTCAAGATTTATCACATTTTGCAGTAAATCCAATGTCAATATTTGAGTGCTCAATTAGTATATGAATAGATATTGATCGAAATCTTAAATATTCAAATATGTAATATCTGAAGTATTGAATTAATTAAGTGATATAGTCACACATTCAGGAGTCGTGTGCCTTTCTCTAAATTTTCTTTTCGAGTACCATAAGTATAAACAATAAAACCTTAGTAATGATTTGCCTTCAATTCATTTCGTTTGTTTATGCAGTCTTTAATGTACAATAAAAAAAATAAAATATGGTTCTTCAAACCAATGTTACCGTGACGATTCTATCTTTCTTTCAAAATTTTACCGCTATATGCATGATTTTTAATAATAAACATTGAAAGTATTCTATTGGAAAAATCCAAAATATGATTTTTATCATTATTTACATTGTGAGACAAAATATTATTCTTATTGATTCAAAGTATTGCGCAAACACAACTGCTCGTATATATATCGTGAAAAAGACTTATAGAGAAAAAAAATAGAAATTAAACGATAGGAGTAAGATAAATAGATAAATATGATCTTCAGAATAGACATGAGTTTTTCGTTTGTAGGAAGCAAGTTTTCAATTTAATGACAAAAATCAACAAGCAATTATCGATCTATTTGGTGATCGTGAAATAAAACCGATTCAAGAAGAACTTGGCCGAGTAAATGTCAATCCAATAACAGATCATGTCAAATTTTTAATGAAAAAATTATTCATAATTATCTTCCTATTTATTGTTGCTATTATTGGACTAGTTTCATTAATTATTGGTGTTATTGCGTACAAACGACAATGTTATTTACCTCGTCAACCATCACTTCCAATTTGGTTACTTGTATTAGGTTCTACGAGTATAATTCTTATCATTGCATTGATTAATTTGGTTTGTTTCATTGTTTTTTTTTCTTATTTTATTTACAATATATATATATATATAATTCGATTTTATAGATTTTAGTAGCAACAGTTATTAAATATAAGACTAGTGAAAAAGCATTTCGTCGTGCGTTTATGATTATAGTTGGTATTGGTGGTGGTGTTTTAAGTTGGGCAGTTGGACCGGTAATAATTAAATAACAATCAAACTGTGATATAATTCGATAAATGCGAGATGATTTTTTTCTCTCTCTAGGGTTCACAAGCAATGTTCTACTTACCTTCTCGTTCATCAGACTGTTTAGGTTTTGTCGTAACCTACAGTACGGTAATATATTTTATATTAAGTCTTTTTTCATTTATTTATGGTATATATTGTATCTACAAATTTTGGTCACATTGTTGTTGTAAAAACAAAAAAGGAAAAAATCAAGTTGCTGTTGTTGCTGTACCATTACCATCAAATGGTACTCAAGAAGATTTGCCTAATGTGATTGATGCAATCGTGCGTAAAGAAAATGGTGTTACTCCTATGAAAACAAGTTTACCAGTCGATGATTCTATTAAACGTGAAAATTAGAAAGACTCTTTTGTTTATGGTGAATAAAATAGTTTGAAATGATAATTTATTTATTTTTTTTAACATCCCACCATGATAAAAAAAATGATTTTTTTGATGATGAAATATATCGAAGAGAA